TTCCTGCTCCCAGCTCACCGCCTCGCCTTCCCTGCCGCTCCCCTGGCCCAGGACCATCGGTAGCATGCCTGAGCTATCCCGAACCGCACTTGTCTCGGGTCTCCAAGCTCACACCGGCTCGTGATGCCACGGAGAGGGCTCGAGGTTGTCCCCGGTGGACCCCATCTGAGGCGATTGCGAGGGCATTCCGGAGGTCATCATCGGCGCCATCGACCGTGATATGTCTCGTCCCGCGGCCCTCATGCACCGAACGGATGCATGCAGTCATAATAGGTAGGCCTTCTTCCCCGAAGTTTTGAGCAATAGCCGCAAACAACGCTTTTTGGCACTTGCATCGCGACAAGGTCACACGCGGACTCTCCAGCCTCTCAGCTCACCACCTCGCCTTCCCTGCCGCTCTCCTGGCCCAGGCCCATCGGTAGCATGCCTGAGCCGGCCCGAACCACACTTATCTCGGGTCTGCAAGCTCACACCGGCTCGTGATGCCACGGAGAGGGCTCGAGGTTGTCCCCGGTGGACCCCATCTGAGGCGATTGCGAGGGCATTCCGGAGGTCATCATCGGCGCCATCGACCGTGATATGTCTCGTCCCGCAGCCCTCATGCACCGAACGGATGCATGCAGTCATAATATGTAGGCCTTCTCTCCCGAAGTTTTGAGCAATAGCCGCAAACAACGCTTTTTGGCACACTTGCATCGCGACAAGGTCACACGCGGACTCTCCAGCCTCTCAGCTCACCACCTCGCCATCTCTGTCGCTCTCCTGGCCCAGGCCCATCCGTAAAGCCCGAGCTGTCCCAAACCGCACTTATCTCGGGCCGTCAAGCTCACACCGGCTCAAACGACCCACACACGGGCCCTCACACGCACATTACAGATCATAGACGCCACCGAACCCGCCGCCCGGACGCGCGGGTACGCACCGCCGCGCGTGCCGTCGCCGCGAGTACGGGAGCGAGCACGCGTGTGTGCGCCGCGCCTTCGGCCGGTCGCCCTCGCCGCCGCCACAGCGCTGCCACGGCGGCAGCAGCCTCGGCGCCGCCGCCCGCCGCCGCCCAGACGCGCGGGTACGCCGCGCCGCGCGTGCCGTCGCCGTCGAACGAGCGCCACGGTGCCGGTCGTCGCCGCGCGCGAGCAAGCGCGGCGCCCCTTCTGATGCAGGCGCGGCGGGCAGCGCCCGCTACGACGCCTCGCAGGCTGAGCCTCGGCGGCGTCGAGGTCGGTCGCGCTCGCTCCCGCGGGCGCGGCGGTCGCCACCGATCCGGACGCGGCCATGGCGGCCCTCGCGGCCGGCGCGCAAGCCGCAGAGCCTGCCGGAGGTGCCACCCGAGCGGCGAGGTGAGTCGGTGGTGGCGGTGGCGAGGCCTATGGCGGTACGAGCGGGGCTGATAGAGGCTCGTCGATAGTGCATCGGCTCGGAGGCTGCGATTAGCGGCTAATCACCGGGTGAACGCAACTGCGCCGCTCGCCACCAAAACGCCGCCGAGAGCCGCCGCCGGCTGCGTCGCGACCGCCGCCGCGCGGCTCGCGGCGGTGGACCCAGCGTCGCCGCTCGGAGCCGCCTATATACTCGACCAAGACTCGGGCTCACGGCCGCGAGAGCGACGGGCTGGTTGACGGCCGCCGGCGACCTAGCACGGCGCTGCACGCCGCAGAAACGCCGCCGAGAGCCGCCGCCGGCTGCCTCGCGACTGCCGCCGCGCGGCTCGCGGCGGAGGACCCAGCATCGTCGCTCGGCGCCGCCTATATACTCGACCAAGACTCGGGTCACGGCCGCGAGAGCGACGGGGCTGGTAGACGGCCGCCGGCGACCTAGCACGGCGCTGCACGCCGCAGAAACGCCGCCGAGAGCCGCCGCCGGCTGCGTCGTGACTACTGAGCCCGCGCGCCGCGCGCGGGCGAGGGGAGCGGCGACGGGGCGGTGGGCGACGAGCCGCAGCAGCTGCGCCTGAAAATGAGGTGGCGGCGGGAACTAGAGCGTCATCTGCTGCCGTGCGGGCAAGCGATCACCGCCCTCGAGCGCGCCGCGGCAGTAGTCCGTCCGAACCAACGCGACAGCTCGGACCGCGCGCCGTGCTCGCGCGGCGGTGAGGGGGGTCGCGGTGGGCGGTGCCGGCGGCGAGCCGCAGCAGCGCAACGGCAACGCAAAGGCTGCGGCCTGAGAGCGCCGGAGAGGAGGCGCTCAAGAGGTGGCGCACCTCAACAGCGCTCCTCCGGAGCAATCGATTCGGAGACCTCGCCGCCGCCTCGCCGCGCGGCTGAGCCGGCACAACTTTCCGGGCCTTCAGGTCTCCACAGCGCCGCCCGCCACAGCGCGCGCTTTTTCTTTTTATCTTTTTAAAACGGGTTGCAAACAACTTATCCACTAGCTCTCGAACCAAAAAACAGAAAACAGTTGCGGAAGGCTCGAGTTGTGCTCTGATACAGACTACCCAACCCACAGGGCCACAGGTTGCAGATTTCTTGGTTGCAGCAGGCAGCCTGATCGATCGAAATAAATACAAGCCGGCAAAGCCGGCGGTCGCAGCCGTGCTCTAGAGAGATATCGCAGTCTCAAGTGAGCTTCCAGGCTGAGCCGGTGCAGAGTGTGCCGGAGCAGCCGGCGCGAAGAATAATCGTATCCCCAAGTGCCCCACGCCCCGTATTCGAACTCCTCGGCCTCGGCGGCAACCTCGTCTAGTGCCTCATCCGCCCTCTGCAATGAGTCTGCCGAATTGTCGCTCTCCGCTGCCGGTGCTGGCGTGTCTCCTAGGTAGCTGTTGAGAGCTTGCACAAACTCATCGAGTGAATGCACGACGACAAACACAGCACCCGCCCGAACCAACCGTGTGCGCCACTCCTGTTGGCGTTGCAGCCGAGCACCGGGTACTTTCACCTCGACTGCCAAGCCGATCTCGTTTAAGGCTCCTCGCCAGTGCACGAAAACATCCGGGTAGCCGCTCGAGCTCCCGGTTGTTCGGAGTGCGTTCCATCGTATGGCGCCAAGGCGACCGCCGCCAAGGAAGGCGCCATTGAAAGAACCCACAAAGGGCATGTCAGGCCAGTGTTCGCGCAAAAAGTGAGCGATTGCCTTCTGTATCTCACGCTCGCGGCGATGCCGAGAACGCGTCATGTTGAGCACGGCGCGACTGTTATGACTTACGTAAAAAAGTTTGTTTTAGAATCGCGAGTGTTCAGTGAGATCAATCGAATAAGTACACTATACTCCCGGTGACCACCCGCAACCATTCGAGGCGATTTGCAACGCTTTTACTGCATTTTTTTGAAAAACCCCACCCTATATGAGATACCAAGCCTGGGTATTTCGATTGCGGCTGTAAGGTCACTGTAAGACTTACAGGTAGCTGTAAGGTCAATTGAAATACCTGGCTGGGGTATATCGATTCGGGGCGGATATTTTTCACTTTAATAGTTTTCCTTAACTTATTTCGCACACATTTGCCCCCCCAACCAGTAGAGGTTGAAACACAACTTTTTTGCTTTATGAGGTGCAATATGAGGTGTGGATGGAGCGCTAATGAGTCACTAGGAGCGCCGTTCGAGGGGGCCGATAGGCGTGACACGGCTCAAATTTGGGTTAAAAACTTCGTATTTTTGGCCTTGAAATGGCAAATTTTCTTCGGGGGGGCTCTGCCCCCCCAAACCCCCCGCTGGGGGGGGCAAAGCCCCCCCCAGACCCCCCCCCTACACTGGAGTGGGGTGGTTTACAGAGTTGAGAAGATATACGCTCTAGGTACTTATTTTAAGAGCAAGTGAACAGCAATAGATCCGGGTGTAGTGCCGGATCAGTTCCTGGAGCCAGGGGGGCCGATTTGCACTTGCCAAGGGACCAATTCTAAACACCCGGGCGGGGGGGGGAGGGGGTACAGGGGGCCGCCCTACAGACCCGTTGCCACGCGCACCAGGTGAGAGGTTCCGCCAAACGCGCACGTTCGGCACAGCAGATACATCACACTGGCGGGATGCAAGAGTACACTCAACACCTACCCGACAGTACATTCCATGCCAGAACATTGTTTCATGGAGGACCGATTCTCGGCAAGTTTGGCAGGGCGGGCAGCTGTGAAGGATCGATTGCTGTACAACGAGGGACCAATTCCGTGAGGGCTGGGTACCGATTAGGCCGGTTGAGGGCCGGATCTATTGCTGTTTACTTGCTCTTAAAATAAGTACCCGACGGCACCGGTGTGCTGGCGTCCGGGTCCCAGCGGGTTTTCAGGTAACAAGCACACACCGGCCACACCAGCGCCGCGGGGCTGAGAGGGGTGCACGAATTCATCCCGAGTTAATCCTGTGTCGAGCCTGTCTGCTGTGAGAGAGAGTTCTCCTTTAAATTCTTTTTCGGCCATCGTTTGTGCGCGCTGCAAACGCGCGAATCAGAGGGTTGGTCCTCGGCGTGATGGTAACATGGGCTGCTCTGCCATTCAGACCCTATTCAGACTTGCCAAGTGATGACTTGCTTGCCGTATCTCCACACATGCCCACTTGAACAGGGAGAGCGTTTACGCTCTCTCTCTTCTCTGTACTCAGCCCTGCAAGAGGAGCGCCGCGGCCAGGGTCTTGCGGTCGAGACCCTTCACGGTGTTCATGCCCAGCACGCGGTCAAACCGGGCCGTCGACACGCCGGTCGCGCCGAAGAAGCTCGCGTGGCTGAGGTCGCTCTCGACGAAGCTGGCGCTGGAGAGATCCGCCCCGTCGAAGGTCGTGTGGCGCAGGCTGGAGTACTCGAGCTTCGCCTCGCGCAAGCTCGCCCCTGCGGGGGAGGGAGGGAGGGCGCACGTCTGCTCCACGCACACCGGACAGCGCGGGGCAAGGGCCTGGCCGCTCGCCGCGTCTCCACGTCCGGGGGGAGTGAGTGGGACCTGGGACGGCAACGAGCCACCCCAGGCACTCGCGGTGTGCAGGGGGCGGTGGCGAGGGTGAGGCGGAGGGCGGCGGCGGGGGCAGGGCGCAATGCACGCGCGAGAGCGGGCCTGAGAAGTTTGCGTGCGGTAGCACGGTCGCTTCAAAGGAGCTGCGGTCCAGCTCCGCGCGCACGAAGCTCGCCCTCGCCGCCACGGCGTCCTAAGGTAGGGTAGACACGTGCTCGAGGCTGATCTCGAACGAGGTCTCGAATGAGGTCTCGAATAGATCTGGAAGAGATCTCGAGCCGATCTCGGCGTCCACCTTGAAGTTGGTCTCGGCGAGGCGCGCGTTGTCGAAAGTGGCGCAAGTCATCTCGACGCTCTCGAAGTTCGCCTGGAGAAGAGGCAAGGCCTGCCTCTGCCTCTGGGTGGAGATGGAGATGGAGCTAGTCCGCAACAGAGTGTGCGGCGAGGTTGTCTGCGGGGCAGCCTCACCTTCCAAACATCGAGGCCGCGCAGATCTCCAAACGCGAGGTCCTGTGCACAGCCTTGAGCCGTGAAGAGACGCCGTTCACGGCCGCGCGCGGGCCGCTCGCCGCGAAGTCCTCGCACTGCAGGCCGCCGGTGTGCAGGTCGACTAGCGGGGCAACGAGTAAGCAGCACGCGCCTGCTCACGCCATGGGCGGTGAGGAGGAGCCGCTCACAGCCGACTCGTCGCCCGCCAGAAGCAGCAGGCGCAGTTAGCCGTGGGCACGGGGCACCTGCTCATGCAACAGCGACGGCTGTGAAGGTGCACGCGCCTGATCTCGCTGGTGCCGGGTCTTTGGCCGCCGGCTTTGGGCCGCCGCGTACGCGGGCTTGAGCAGACAGGTGGGGCGGTCTGGGCGAGGCACCTGGGGTTAGGGGTAGGGTTAGGGTCAGGGCAAAGGGCTGCGGTTCGTCTGAGGGGCACAAGGAGGTGTGTTCTGCGGTTGCGGTCACCACGTGCGTCACGGAGGCGGCTGGGCCAGGCATGTTGCTGTACACGTCGATGGAGTGGCAGTCGTACTCGCTGCCGCCGCTCGAGTCTGCGCGCGCGGGGGGGGGGGGGGGGGGGGGCTCCGAGAGGTTTCGGGGAAGTGTCGCGGCCATGTCCTCTTCTCCTCCCGCGCGCGCGCCCATCCGCTGCACTGTCTCGATCGCGCCGCAAGACGGCTCGGCCGCGCAGTCTGCCTTGCACACCTGCTCACACACCGTTCTGCTGTGAATAGGAACGCGAGGCCTGAGTTGGAGTCGCCGACCAACGAGCGGGCGGCCGAAGTAGCGCAGGCAGCAGCCGAGCTGGCGTCGAAACAAGTGGCAGCGGTAGAGGCTGAGGCAGAGGCAGCGGCAGCGGCAGCGGCAAAGTCCTTTTCCGGCCGCCTCCAGACGAGCTGTCGCGTCACGTCTGAGCCGGCGCACGCGCCCTGCTTGCTGCTCCTGCGGCCTCCGCCCACGCCGTTCGGCGGCAGCCACTCTCCCATCGATGCGGAGACAGGCCCACGCAGGAGGGGGCGAGCGGTCGACGTGGCGGTGGGTGCGGGCGCCGGAGGCGGCGGCTCGGAAAGTGTATCCGAGCAGCAGCCTTGGCAATCGCACCCAAACAAACGGAGCGTCGCGCAGGTAGCCGTTTGGCTCATCTCTCCGCATGTGGCCTGTCCACAGGCTGTGCGACACGCCAGCGGCGGCGGCGGCGGCGGAGCGATCGACCTGCAGCAGCTGACACAGTAGCAATCGAACTCAACAGAATGAAGAGCGCTCAACCCGGCACACGTGGTGGCCTTGTAGAAGTCTCCGCACGTCTTGCCGAGGCAGGGAGAATGGCATCCACCGCTCATCGGCGCCGATGGCCGCGGAGGCGATGGCGGAGGAGGGAGAAGAGGCTGCCACCACGGTGGGGGCCGAGGTGGTGGTGGTGCGAGCCACATGCGGAGAGCCATGGACAGAGAACGTCGCAGGACAGCAGCAGCAGACAGGAACAGCCACAGCCACAGCCACAGCCGAGTGAGGTAGGTCAAGACGCACAGGGTTCCGGCTCCTACCCGGGTAGCCAGATAGGTTCTCGACGTTCTCGAGGTGGATATCCTTTGGCCGCGTTGGGTAGCGAGGATTGGTGTAACCCGAGCCACGGAGGCGTGTTTTCTGACGGCCGACCGTCAGTGCACGGAGTTGCCCCTTCTCCGACTGCCCCGGCTAGTTCACGGGTTTCGCGGGAGTGACCCCATGCGTCAAACCCGAGACCTAGCGCGGGTGGGTTGGAGGGGCCTCGGAAAGGCGCGCAAGCACGCCCTACGTCTTCCCCTCCTCCCCATCGGGCCGCATGAGCGGCCACGCCTCGCAGATTCGTTTCCGCGCCTGGGTCAGGCGCGCGGCCAGATAGGTCAAGTAGGCAGCAGGCAGGGGCGATTATTTATTACCCAAAAGCTAGGCTCACAACGCCCTCTATGTTGGGTCAAGGCGGGCGCCTAGAAGAAAGCGCCGCTTACCGAGGGGGAATCCCACCCGTACCCCGAGCCCCCGTCGAAGAGCGCGTCGAAAGCGTCGTCGCCTTCGTCGTACTCCTCCGGGTCAAAGCACCGGACCGGCTCCCCCCGGCCGTGCTCCCTTGCCCAGCGCATCTGCCGAACATGCGCACGCTGCTCCTCGCGCGCCATCTCCTCCGCGGCGCGCGGCGTCCACCCGGTGGACGCCAACAGCGACTCGAGCGTCGCGCGATAAATCGCCTCGCCTTCCTCGCGTGATACCACCTCGCCCGCCTCCTTCGCCACCGCCTTCTTCCCACGCCGCGATAGCTTCTCGCCGCCCTTGCTCGCCAGCGCCGGCGATGCCGTGGCGCGCCTGCCGCGCCCGCGCGCCCGCGCCTGAAAGGTAGCCCTGCCGCGCCCGACGTCCCCCCGCGTCCGAAAGATGACCCGCGCCTCCTCCTCCGTCACGGGCGTCTCGCGACCCCCTCGCGCCTGGAGGATAGCCCGGGCCTCCTCGTCCGTCACGGGCATCTGCGTCTTGTGCTGCAGGGCAATCCTCAGCGCTCGGACGCGCTTGTCCTCCTCGGCCGCGGCCGCCGCGCTCGCCTCCGACGCCCCAGAGCCCCCTCCTGCCACCGCCTCCTCCGCGTCCGCGCCGCTGTAAGTAGAATCCGAAGCTCCGGCGGACGCAGCAAGTGGCTGCGAACTGTGCCCGGTGTCGGTATGGCGCGTCGCTGAAGGATCGGCGACAACTAGGGTATCCGGAGCGCGGCGGCCCGCCTCGGCGGCGGCAGCAGCGCCCTCGACCTCCCCCTCCCCCCCTGCGGCGGCGATCGTCCCATCGCCGCTCGCCGGCAGCGCGGGCGCCACGGGGTCCATATAGGCCCCCGGGGCGCCGCCTCCGGTTCCGCCTTCTGCGGCCTGCGCACTGCAGGCGCCTCTTTGGGGCGCGCGCCGCAGCTGTTCAGGGCCGGCAGGCAGCGGCACAGATGACGTTGCACGGTCTTGCCGAGGCCGAGCCCCTCGAGGCCGTCCTCGGCGACCGCCTCGAGCAGCGCCGCGACGTAGGTTGCCGACATCCAGGGCCAGCAGCAGCGGCACAACCTTGCCGGAGACGGGCGCAGAAACGCGCGCCCGCTCAAGGAGGGCCGCGATGTCCTCGTCGAGAAAGATGGACGGCCGCGAGGCCGCCATCACCGTGGCGCCCGGCCGCGCGGCCCCGGGCTGCGGGTCTGTGCTCGCCGGCGGCGGTGGAGCGAGAGGGAGCGGCGAGTGCTATGGGCGCCACGGCGCCTCTTTCGCGGCTTCCTCTGCTCCACTTCGCTGCCCGAATTGTCCACAAAGATCGGTCCGAGAGCCTCTCCGGACGGACACGTTCGCTCGAAGGAAGGGCTTACTTACACTAGAGCTGATTAACATTAACTTTGGGCCTAACAGTTGCGCTATTGTTGGCTGAAATCCTTAACGTTGTTCGCCGCGCCGCGGCGCCGGACCCGTCCGCCGCCCCCGCTGCGCCCGCCGGGGCCACGGGAGAGGTCAGAAATCGTTTCTCGGGCCAGGACGCAGGAGACGAACTATGGTCACGGGTCCCGGAGCCGAGACTTTTGAGTGTTGTTTTCCGGGGCTTTCTCCTTTCTCTTTTTAGCTTCACAAGTGCGCTACAAGACGCGCCTGAAAAATACAACCCCTGCTCAATGTGTCTCTCCTAACAAACAACACGCTACTCTCGTGCCTTCCCTACTCGCGTCTCGTTCCTACATCCTAGTGCCCTTAGAACTCGCCCTGCGCATCTCAATTCGGCACGAGCGTGCACCGAGCGACGGCAGTGGCGCCAGCCACGGCGAGGCTCATCATAACCGTGCACGCCGTGAAAGCGCCGTACCAGCCCTGTGCAAAGCAAAGGCCAATCGTGTACCTAAACCCGACAGACAGGTCAAAGGGGCGCATCCGAAACCCCCATCGAGGCTGGCCGGCCGCGCGCACGGTGCAAGCAGCTCGCCGAGAGACATCGCAAAGTTGAAGACCAGCATCACCTGCGCGACATCGCGTTCGGGCGGTATTTCTGATTACGTGTGGGGTGATGTGTCGGGGTTCGGTGAGCGGCATCACGTTTGGGCTGATGATCACGTCGCCCTCCGCGGGCAGCGCCATTGCGGCCGGCACCTGTGGGTGGAGGGGGCGATGAAAGAAGGAAAGAGGAGGCGGGAGGGGGAGAAGGAGAGAGCGGCGGAAGGGAGAGGATGAAGAGAGGGCGCGAGAGCGAGCGAGCGAGCGAGCGAGCGAGTGAGGGAGCGAGGGAGCGAGAGAGCGAGAGAGCGAGATCGAGAGAGAGCGAGAGAGCGAGATCGAGAGAGAGAGAGATCGAGAGAGAGAGAGATCGAGAGAGAGAGAGAGAGAGAGAGAGAGAGAGAGAGAGAGAGAGAGAGAGAGAGAGAGAGAGAGAGAGAGGGAGAGAGAGAGAGGCAACCGAACTCGCGATGGCGATGCCAAGCCCGCAGGTGCCCAGCCAGAGCAGCCATTGCGACTGGAGGAGCTCATAGCCGAGGTAGCTGAGCCCCGACACGACCATCACACTGGCGTCGAAGGCAAGCGCGTGCCATGCCGAGCTGACAGACGCCGCGAACGCAGACCAGGCGACCCTGCCGGCCGTGACGACAGCCCAAAAGACAGAGGAGAGGAGCGCGAGCGACGAGAGCTCCATCGCGCCGACGCGCTGCACGAGGCGGGGGAGCGGGGCGCGTGGGGGAAGGAGGCGTGCGGTAGTGGCGGGCGGGCCGCGGCGGCCACGGCGGGGGATGGTGTCGCGCCGCTTCCCCCCCGTCGATGACGGGCCCGCCTCCAGCTCACCTGTCCATAGGTCGGCAGCCAGGTCGCCACCCCGTGCTCAGCGGCCGTGACGCTGAAGAGAACCTGACTGTGGAGAAGACGCGCGTGGGCGTTGGGACTTGCGTGCGAGTGGCAAGCGGCGCAGAAGCGCGAGGCACCGTCGCCATCGCTCCCACGAGGACCAAGCCGTGCCTCCGGTGCAGAGGCGACCCTGCGGGCAGCGTCGCGAGTCGGTAAGAGGCAGGGGCTCATTGCACCGAGGATCAACGAGTCCAACAGCGCGGGACTTTCCCACCTGAGTCTTCCGAAGGCTCACTTCCTGGAAGCTTCCTGGACACTTCCGAGACACTTCCCAGCCCGTCGCGCCCGTCGCCTGACGACTGCGCCGTCGAACCGGGCTCGTGAAGAGGCTGCAGCTCCAGCCCGTTGCCGCCGGGCGAGTCTGGCTGCAGCGCCTCGTAGTGTGGCAGCGACGCGGCGTCGCCCCTCGGCAGCGGCGCCGCACAGGCGAGGACTGCTGCCGCCGCCGCCGCGAGCACGGCGAGTGCCTGACTCCCAGGTAGACATCTCAACAGGGGGCTGTGGCTGGGCCGTTCCCCACGTCTCCACGTCCCGAGAGTGCCTCCCAGCAGGCGTACACGGTGCCGCCGTGGCGGAGGGAGAGGGCCACGACGAGGGGCGTCAGTACAGCGCCGAAGGTGTACCCGACGCACACACTTGCGATGTTGGCCCGCTGGGCACGCCCGTCTCGGCCCGCCCATACCGCCACCTAGGCAGATAGAGGACAAACCAGTGACATCTGTAGGGCACGAGAGAGGAGCAGCGAGGAGGAGAGGGAGAGAGAGGAGCAGTGCGGAGAGAGAGAGAAGGAGAGCACACCATCAGCACGCCGGCGTCGGAGCACCCATAGCAGAGACCAAACCCCCAGCACGCGAGCTGCAGCCACCGTGGAGAAGTGCGGGCGCGGGCGACCACGCATGAGAGCCCAGCTGAACAGAGCATGAGTGCAGCGTGCAGCCCGCGCGGTGAGAGCCGCCCATGGCGCGCAGAGGAGTTGGCGTAGTATGTCCAGCAATAGTTGCCGAGCAGTTTTGACAACTTCATCTGGAGCACTAGTCCAGCGAGCGTTGACTGTGACAGGCCCGTGTTTGCAGCGAATGCGTCAATCGACGGTCCGATACCTCCAACCAGTCCACCGTTGACTATGCCCACCGTCGTGAGCACCGCGACAGTGTTGTGACGCGCGCGAGCGGCTGCGTTCATGCTCGAAATCCAGAGCCACGCACATGTATCACCCGGCCGGGCACACGTCGGCCCAATTACCAAGAAATTTAAGCGAGCCGGCCCGGGTCCATCCCTAGGGTAGGCGACGGCTAGCGCATCACACTCCTCTCCTTAAAATCCCTGTGTGGTGGCGGCGTGCCGTTCTCCCATCCCTCCCTTGGGCTGTCTGTTTTCTTTCTTTCTTTCATCCCTCCCTTGCGTGTGTGTGTGTGTGCGCGCGGGGGGAGCTTCGTCGACGGGTGCGGGATCGCGGCGCAGTCAGTGCCGTGGCAATGCCTCCGGCTGTTTGCGGCGGGCGGCTTGCTGCTCGCGGCGATGGTGAAAAACTCGTCTCGCCACACGCCAAGGGCTTATGCTCTGGCGAGACGTGAGGCGCATGCGCCCAGGAGGGGAGGGCGCATGCGTAACGACGCTGCTAGAGATGCCTTTCGGGGTGACCTAAGTAGTGTCCCCGGCTATGTGGGCAAGGGCACGTGGGAGGAGGGTCAGTGCGGCCCACAAGGTGTGAGCTACCCCCTCTCCTAGGTGTGACCGATTGACAAGCCAACTGAGCTACCGTCGCCGGGCGCGAGAATAGCTCCGCCGTTCATGGAGGCAACCGATGCGAGTCGACTGGTGTGTGTAGCTCTTGGTCGTAGGTATGTTGTTGGCGGTCCAAGTCACCTCATCGAGGTACTGGGCCCGCGTCAGCTTGTTCTGTAGCACGTCCGCCGCCTTCCGGAGGATCTCACGGACCCCCTTTCAAAAGAAAAGCAATCCAGGCCCAAACTTGCGGCCCTCATTTCGACTTGGCACTTTTGCGCCCGCGCATAAGTGTCGAAGCCCGACCGCACAACATAAATGAAAGAGGAGGCTCTCTGCCGCGGCTTCTTCACGGTCTTTGCGACCGCTCTGACGCCGACCCCAGATGGCCGTCGAGAGCCATGCGCCCCCCTCTTTGACGACCCGGAGCTGACTGTACTCTACTCCACCGTGCAGCGCATGGGGTCAGCGTGCAAAGCTACAGAGCTATGGCCACACGCCAGCATTGACCACTCGACCCTTTCTTCAGGTCGACGCTGACCATTTTCACCACGCGCACAGCCGAAGAACGCTCCCAACGGCACTGCGAGAGCTGCCTCCCTTTCGTTCGCGTTCAAGACTTTGACCCCGACCGCCTTCTTGCCCGCCACTTTTCCGCGCCAGCCGTTGCTGCTCTCCGGTCGTGGGCAGTGGACGAGAGAGCGCGGTACGGTACGGGGCTCACACGGGGCGAGGTGGTGACGCGCACGTCGGACGTGATGCGCCTGCTCCTGGCGCACGAAAATTCGCTCAGCTACCTCGACACCGACGTGCTGCTCCTATCCCCCAACGCTTCCACCTACCTGCACGAATTCTCTGCTGTCGCTGTCTGGGCTGACTCGTTCGCCGCGCTGGAGCCGACCAACTCGGCCTTTTGCCTGAGCAGGCGGCGGTTGCCCCCACACTGCTGCCCGCACAGTCGTTGTGCACCCCTCTGCCACACATCGACACCGAGGAAGTGTCTACCATGAGCTTTGCATTTCCTTAGCTGCCGCCTGGTGCTCCACACACCTTCCACGCAGCATGTTTGCCACCGGCCAGCTCCTCCTTAGGCGGCGGCTGCGGAGGCTGATTCGAATGCAGGAGGAGGCCATCCTCGCCCACGCCGCCTCAAGAGAACGCTGGGGCTACACAGAGCTCGGGCCCGCCCTCTTCCAGCGAGGCTTGCTCGGTGGCGACCCTAGATATGCAATAGAGGGCCAGTGATTTGGCGGTGGCGTCCACGCGGTCATATGACGGCACTGAGGCGTTCTGGCTGCGCCCCTGTCGAGGCACCCGTATGCAACCCGCTTTGACCTCGTAGGTGGCGAGCCCATCCGCCTGCTCACACAGAACCATCCGGAGCGGCCCGACCTCGCCGTACAGGCGAAGTCCGGCGCGCCTATCGCAGCACACGCTTGCTGCCTCACCTCGCCTGACCTAACTTTGTCACCATTCAGGCGGAGCGATACCGAATGCGGATGCTGCACCTGACGGGGCGAATTCTTCGCGTCTTCGAGAGGCAGCAGGTGCGGCGCGGCATCACCGATCCCTCTCAAAGCACATACGTTGCTCTCGTGGAGAGGTCCTTGCGAGCCCTTCGCCTCCCACGGCTTCCGCCAGTGCCAAGGTGCCAATAAGGAATAAGAATTTCGTTTCCTCTCTAGCGCTTCGCTCTTTTGCGGCATGGAAAAAGTTTTGCGGCATGGAAAACTTGTTGTATTGTCTGTCCTGAACAGACAAAGACATTCTCCTCCGAGCGAGACTTTCTTCTTTCGCATTATAAAAGAGTTTAAGGCCAACGGTAATACTGCATCTCCAAGTGCAAGTGCATCGTTCGGGGGCGGCGGAGTGGTCAGAGACTCGCTTGCGGCTCGTTTTGGTAGCTCGCTCCCGAGCGAGGAAATCGAGATTTTGCGAGACGTCGCACGTCAGAGTCTCTCTCTGGCCGAACTCTTAATCTCTTCAAATATCCCCTCCGACCTAGCTATATCGTTACCCGGTAACATGAGGAGCATCAGAAACGCGGTGCTCCCTCGTCACCACCAGCGGCAAGACGAGACTGCGCCAGCAATCCACGAGTCCCGTGGCAGCCGTCCCGTCGCTGAAGCGCTCCTCGTCCCCAGCGATCAGATAGCCGATCTGCATCGCTTGCTCCGCCCACCACCGAACGTGTTGCGGAAAGAGTGAGTGAGACGCTGATGACCACACGGTTGCCTGCTCGATCAGCGTGCTCACTCCGACTTCCCCCACCACACTCAGATTTGAGAACTTCAGTGCAAAGGGAGCGCTCTCGCCGACCACCTGCACAGCGAGTCGTCTCGTCGCGATCCCCGATAACAAGAAAAGCGCGATACTCTAACAAAGAATTTGCGATGCAACACGCGCCGCTCTTCCCAGGCGCCTTGCTGCCGGTTCCGAGCCGGTTAATATTCAACACGATTCCGAGGCGGTCATTCAAGGTGGGATTCCCCTGAAGCGAGTGAAGGCGCACCGTCGTGCCGACAGTCATGGCTGTATGCACTTTAGGATTCTTTTTTGCGGCGTCTGAGGAAGCCGTCGCCCGCGCCTCGCCTGTCGCGTGAATCGTGTCGTGCGACCGCCTTTTGTTGTAAAATTCTTTTTCGCGTGGCGCCTCTCTTCGCCGGCCGAAACGAAGTGCTCGATCTGTGCGGCGGTGTTGATTGCGCCGCGCTTCCGGATGGCTATATTTTGGCCTGCGCCGTTCCTGACGGGATTCTTTTTTTGCGTGGCGCCTCTCTTCGCCGGCCGAAACGAAGTGCTCGATCTGTGCGGCGGTGTTGATTGCGCCGCGCTTCCGGATGGCTATATTTTGGCCTGCGCCGTTGATGACGGGATTCTTTTTTTGCGTGGCGCCTCTCTTCGGCCAGGGCGAGACGACGGGCGGCTAGAATCTGTGGATTTCAGGGTGCGACGGCTCGCCCTCTCTCCGTCGCCCTCCCCACGCCACCGCGGCCTCGACTCGCCACCCGCGCCGCGTCACCGTCGCCCCCACCGCGATCGCCCCCCTCCCCGACGTGAGCAGGCGTGCGTCTCTCCGTCGTTGCCGCACCGGCGTCTTGCACCAAGGAGCATGGCGAGCAGTTCCCCGAGACGACCCAGCCTGAGCTCGCGCCTCTCCGGGCTCGCCGGGCTCGCCTCGAGCGTCGTCGAGAGCCTCGGCGCCGGCACCGAGGCCTTTGCGATGAGCGCGGCCGTGCGCGGCGAGATCTCGATCCTCGAGCGGCAGATTGTCGAGGTGAAGCAGGAGTTCGGGGTGAGCGCGTTCGAGCCGATGCTCGCCGGCGACACCGAGGCGACCCAGCGCCACTTTGCGCGCGCCTGCGAGCGCGTGAGCAAGCTGGAGACGGAGGTGGCGGCGCGGCGGGCGGTGCTGGTCGCTCTCCGCCGACCGAGCTTCACGTCGTCGCTGTCAGAGGACGGATCTGGGACGGAGTCAGCGGGCGGGCGGCGGTCGGGCTACGCGTCTGTGTCGGCGTCGGGCGACGAGGACGCCACCCTCCCCCGGCCCCTGCCCCCCCCGCCCCATACCTCGTGCGTGTGTGTGACGGAGCAGCCTCACACCTCTCGCTCTCCCCCCCTCCCCCTCGCCTGACCCCCCCCCCCCCCCC